CAGACTAACACAACTCATCTGTCCAATATGTCCCATAGATCCAATTAGCCCCTATGTTTGCTTCCTCTTCAGACTCATGCTGCTTTGCCCACATGCTGCTTCCTCTTCAGACTCACATAGCACAAGCAGTGATGCCGAATGCAGGAAGATCACAGGCTGGCAGGTGAAGTCTTGTGGATCCATTGGCGGTAGAGGCATCTTAGTGCTGGCATGGGTCTCCATGTGGCTCCTCCAGCTCTTTGAGTGTAGCTCCTCAACAGGAAGACGAAGGCAGAGAGAGAGGAAGTTCCCAGAATCCTCATGAGAAAGCCACGCCCATAAGGAGGCATCATCAGGCTGTAACCTGATCGACAGACTAGACTCCACCCCTACACTGATTTATCAAGATGGCATGAAATTATGTAACTACCACAAATGGCCACACCCTACTCATGGAAAAAACTCACAATTATAAGGGTTTATGAGGAGAGTTAAAAGGTTACCACAAGTTGGCATTCCTGTCTTATTGCTACAGTTTCATATAGCTTACCTTCCTGGTATCCCAGTGGATGAAACATTGGGCTGCTATTTACAACTCATCAGCCACTCCAGGGGAGAGAGAGGAGGCTGTGCACTTCTGTAAAGATTAGTCTCTGAAACCCTATGGAGACAGCTGTACTCTGTCCTATAAGGTCACTGTGAGTCAGAATCGGTGTGACAGCAGTAAGAATTGGGGTCCTTCGAAGGCGACCTGATGGCACAGTGGGTTAAGCATTGGGATGTTAACCAAAAGGTCAGTAGTTTGAACTCACCATAGTCAAAGACCCTTTCTCTAAACAGGTCACCTTTTTAAGGATAGGATTTCAGGAGCTTTTGGAAGACAAAATTTGCCAGAAGAAGCTAGCTCCTAGCACAATCACTACGGGTTTTGTAGGCGCAATTGTACAGCGATAATAAGTAAATATTATAGTAAAGTTATAGAGAGCATGAGAGATAAAAGAGATATATAGAAATAAATGGAGTCAGACACATATTATGATATTATGATAGCATGCTCACCTCAGCACCGCTTGATGGTCCACGTGGAGGGAGTGAGAGAGAGTGATCTTTAATGCTCCCCAAGCTTTTATACTCTCTCGGGACATTGGGGACGTGCAAGCCCCCACATTACAGGTGAAGACATACGCCACAGGATAGGGTTGTGCCACAGGTATTACAGTGATGGGAGGAGATGATCTAGGGACATATGCACTACAGAAGGAGAAGGAATTGGGGGTGTACATGCGGCAAGATAGGCGGCAAGATAGGCGGATCCTAGATTTCTGGTAACAGCTTAACTTGATTTTGGGTCTTCATAGGAACCATTATCAGTTGGGTGTAAACTCCGCCCACAGGAGCCAAGCTAATGGCCTTTGGCTCCAGAGAGAGGTAGTCTATTGTCTCCGGCAGCAGGGAGCAGGCCCAGCCCTGCTGTGGGATGAGACAGCAGTCTGGCAGCAAGGATCTGACTTCTCCCCACAAAAATTCAGTCCATAGTATATTGGGGGCTCTGACAGATATTATAACAATCCATAAATCAATTACATCACACAAACTTGTACAGTGCTGCCATCATCATTTTCAAAACATTTTCTATTTGAGCCCCTTGATATCAGCTCCTCTTATTCCTTCCCTCCTCCAAATAATACCCTCATGAACCCTTAATAAATGATATATTATTACTATTATTTTGTAATACCTTACACCATCTGATGTATCCCTTCACCCATAGTTCTGTTATTCATACCCCTCTTAGGGGGGTTATACATCCATCATTGCTGTCAGTTTTCCCTTTACGCCTCCCCCTTCCTGAACCTTCACAAAACTGTTAGTCCCATTACTGCTTCTGAGGTGCTTACCTATCCTGGATTCCGAGTGTAGAAAGCTCTTATCTGTACCAATGTACATCTGCCAGTGTCAAAGGAATAACTGGGGCCATGATAGTCAGGGAGGAAGCACTCAAGAACTAGAGGACTGTTGTGTGTTTTGTCTGTGCTACACTGTTCCCGGCATGAGTCGTCCCTTCCGTGTGTCCCTTCTGTGGGGGAGTTTCCAATGATTAACAGATGGGCTTTGAGTCTCCACTCTGACCCCTCTCCTTCACAACGATATGATTGTTTTTGATCTTCTGATACCTGGTCCTGTCGATGCCTCATGATCACATAGGCTGGTGTGCTTGTTCCATGTGGACTTTGTTGCTTCCTTGCTAGATGGCCGCTTGTTTACCTTCAAGCTTTTAAGACCCCAGACACTATATCTTTTGATAGCCGGGCATCATCAACTTTCTTCACCACATTTGCTTATGCACCCATTTTGTCTTCAGCAATCATGTTGGGAAGGGTGAGGATCACACAGGACCATGTTATTAGAACAACTAAGTGTTTTTGTGTTGAGGGAAGACTTAAGTAGAGATTCAAAATCTGTCTGCTACTTTAGTGCTTTACCGTATAAATATATATCCATATATCTTTATATGTGGATATATTGACATATATTCCTGTCTATATACCTCTCTCTATAGGTTTTACCTCCTAATTCTTTCCTCTATTTCCTTTTACTTTCCTCCTGCCCCATCATCATGTTCCCCTTTCATTGGGCTCTCAGTAATTCTTCTCTACATTCTAAGCTACATTGATCAAACACCACCAGGCATTCTACACCCTCATTGCCTACGATGTTAGATCGCTTGATGTTCCCCTGTCCCTGAGTTTGTTGGCTCACCACTCCCTTCCCCCTGCTGCCTCCTCTCCCAAGCCTCCTGGAACCACCGTTGTTCCTGTTGTTTTCTCCTCAGAATTGTTTATCCTGCCTATCTTATATGTGAAAGAAAACAAACAAACCTCTACATAGTTCCAGGTCTATCTGCTGACCTTTGTGAATGTCCCCCAACCAGGTCAGGTGGGGCACCAAGTACTGCCCCTCGAGTCATAACCCACAAAACTTTTTTTGTTAATACCTTTAGCACCTGAACTTCTGCAATAACCCCTATGGCAGGCTCAGTAATGACCCCTCACATATGTCTGAGTTCCAACCCATAGATCCTGAGAATGTTACCTTTGATGATAAAAACTGTTCAGAATTGTAAACCCTCCCACCTACATAACAGTAAAAAATTCATATCTAATTATCTATCTATCTATCATCTATGAATTGGGCAAATGTGATCAAATTAAAGAAAGCATCCTGAGATGGGCTATTATCCTGGTTTATCTCAGTTAACCACTGTAATCACAGGGGTCCCTACACAAAAAAGGATCCCAGTCAGTTGGACGTGTGCTCACTCACAGAGGCACGAGGTTGAATGGACATGAAGAAAGGGACATCGGCAAAGGACAGGGGTGCACTTGACCCAACCTAAACCCACTGCCATCAAGCTGAGTGTGACGGAGCGCAGCCCTGTACAGGGTTTCCCCGGTTGTACATCTTTATGGAAGGAACCAGCCTCACCTTAGTCCTAATCGTGGCTGGTGGATTTGACCTAATCAGCAGTTCAAGCTCACCTAGCAGCACCACCAGGACTTTGGAAGCTGAAGAAAGACACAGCTCTGAAGATTCTTTGATTTTAGACTTCTGATGTACTGGCAAAGCTGAGTCTACAATCCAAGTCTTATTGAATCCAGAGATGAAACTAAAACCGGTCTCCAGCCTCTCTTGCTAGACCTCGGGGTCAGCCTTTGGAATGGAGAGGGGAGCGCTCAGAGGCATTTATTCATTCGCATTTATTATAACCATGCCAAAGTCACCAAACACAACAGTAACACAACAGTTCGTTTATGGGGCTGTTTCTGCTCAGGGTTTTCCATATAAGAATTTATTTAATCTTCACACTGCAGATCCTATTATTAGCCACACTTTAACGATGAGGCGACTGAGCCACTGAACTGTAAGGCCAGTTGCCCAACACCTAGGTGGGTGGGCACAACTGTTCGAGCCTCCTACCAGCCCTTTCTTCAGCGCGCTCTCCCACAGCCCGAAGGGTCAGCTCCTACCTCCCCAGGGTCAGGGGGCCGTTCCAGGGCGCCGGGCGCAGGCGCAGGGCCGTTCCAGGGCACAGGCCAGGCGGGGCGGGGCTAGGTGATGGGCGGAGACAGGGATTGGTGGATGAGATTGGCAATCCCACAGCGGAAGTTCCGCCCCTCCCTGGCGAGACTTCCGGCTCCGAGTCCTGGGCGGTTCTGCTGACGGAGCGCAGCGGCTAGTCCCGGGATGGTGCTGCTGGAGAGCGAGCAGGTAGCCCGCTCCGGTGGGCCGGGGGGCTGGGCGAGGGGCTGCGCCCAGCTCGGGGCCTCGGGCTCCTGCGGGAGGGGCTGGGACGAGCCGCCGGGGCGCGGGCCCGCCTAACTGGGACGGGCTTGTGTTCCAGTTCCTGACGGAGCTGACCAGGCTCTTCCAGAAGTGCCGGTTGTCGGGCAGCGTGTTCATCACCCTGAAGAAGTGTAAGCAGCCGTCGGCTCTGCGTGGCCGGAAGGAAGCTGGGGAGAACCCTCTCCCCCCCCCCCGTCCCGTGTGTGTGTGTGTGTGTGTGTGTGGGCAGGAGCGCAGAGTGCCTGCCGCGGATCCTCGCCTTCCCTCCGTGCCCCTCCGACCAGGGCTCACCCAGGGCCGAGGGGCCGGAGGATGGCATGGCTGCGGCGGGTGTGAGATTTAATCTGCTGTGAGGGTAGTGTTCTTGTCGCCGTTCTCCAGGCGTGCCCAAAGCGTCAGTGATCGGGAAGACGTGGTTCATAGAGCTTGGAACAGTGGGGTGGGTTAGCGGACCTTTCCTATCCCTTCGCTGTTATTTGAGTATTGGCCATGTGTTTGCCCTCCTGGCACGAGCAGTGGTCGTGGTCACCAGGATGTCTTTCTGATGCAGATGATGGTCGAACTAAACCCATTCCCAGGAAAGGTTCTGTGGACACCTTCGAGCCTTCGGACAACAAATGTCTGCTGAGAGCTACGGATGGCAAGAAGAAGATCAGCACGGTGGTGAGTGCCCTTTCCAGCACTCCAAGGACTTCACTTTGAGGCAGAGCCTGCTTGGACCTGGCTCTAAGGCCCGCCTCTTGCCCCTTGTTTTACATAAGACTAATGTGGGAGGTCACACAGGGCTGTGCCCGCATGCACACAGAAGTATGGTGGCGGATTTTCCTACTAAACCAAAAAACCCACTGCCAAGGGGCTTATAGCCATCTTACACACATGTAGGAGGGCACATGTGGAAAGAGGAAACTTCTTATGCTTAACCAAACATCTCTGGAGACACCTCTGGAAATGGAGCTCATGGACTTGAAGGCAAAGGACCATAGCCTTGGGGGACATCTAGATCAATTGGCATAACACAGTGCATAAAGGCAGGGCCCTAGATTCTACTCTGACGAGTAGCAACTAGGGTCTTAGAACTTGTAAGATCCAACTAGTGGCTCTTTTCCACCCGGAGCAAAGTGAAGAAAACCAACAGACCCAAGAAGCAATTTGTCCATAGGATTAACGCGGCCAGAACTAGGTGGTGCTTGAGTACTGCTCCTGTTCTCCGAAGGACCTGTTAGAATGGGGGAGAAATGTGGGGTCGGACAAAAGCCAACTTCCTTAAAGACCAGACTTACTGGTCTGGCAGGTGTGGAGGAACCCCTGAGTATTGCCCAAGTCACCCTTCCAGCGTGGACCTGGAGTCAGTCCGGGGGGCCACCTCAAGTCAAATGGCAGACTGACCTGTACAATAGTAACTCCGTGAGGACTGCCCAGAGAACAGTCAGTATGAGACCAAAGGCAGGGAGGGCTGGGAACCTGGGCAAATGGAAATGGGGCTGGGGGGATGACTCACACATTGTCAGCAATGTCATGGGACACTTTTTTCTCTTTTAAAAAATGTTTGTCAATTGGGGGAAATTTTACAAAGCAAATCCTTTTTCCCCCCTTCTCAACATTTTATTTTATATCACTGATCGCAGATACCTCAGTGCAACATCACTTAGGCTACTTCCTTGTGCCTCCCATTTCCATCCCTCCTACTCTCCTAACTGTTCTGAACTTTGACCTTGGGCAGATGTCCTTTTGATCTTAGTTGATTCAGCAGTGCTTACCTCCCCAGTTCAAAACCAGCAGCATCTTTGAGGGAGAAAAACAGGGCTTTCTCTACTCCTGTAAATAGTTATGGTCTCGGAAGCTCACAGGGACAGTTCTGTCTCGTCTTGTAGGGTCGCTATGAGCTGGCAGCGCCTCGATGGCAGTGAATTTGGTTTTGGCCTAGGGTTATCGTTCCCCTTATAGACTATCTATCGCTTGACGGACTGAAAATTGAGTCGTGGAGGAGAGTTTAGTTCTAGACTTAAGGGTGCCTAAGGGGGTGTAGGTAGGGAGCTCCATCAGTCTTTATACCTGACCAGTAAGCCTTGTCTCTATGCTTTTGCGTTTTGTTCCACATTTTCTCCCTCTACTGACGGACATTCTAAGTGACCCCCTAACAGAACAGCTGACAGTGGTGGTGAGAGCTGGGTGGTGTGTGAGGTGTGTGTGTGTGTTCCAGGAATCCACTGGATCACGTTTCCATGAGTTTTCCATTTTCTTCACTCTTTTTTCCTCTGGACAGGGAGATGAATAGTTGCTCATGAGCGTTTCAGTTGATCCTCACCAGAGTAGGATGTAGAGCTCTGTGGCCGGTGAGGCCAGGAGACCTTGGCGTCTCGAGTGTTCATGGTCCTGAGCCCCCAGATGCCACCACAAAGTAATCTGTGTATGATTAAGTGGAAAACTATTCCTGTGTAAGCACAATAAGGTGTTAAAATAAATCGAAGAAGGTAGAGACCGAATATTTATTACAATTTTTGTGGAAATAAAGTAGCCTATTGATTTTAACCCCGAGGAGCACTGTGCCAGCGTTAGCTTAGTCCGTTCCTTATTCCTCCACTATGCTAGGCCTTCAACGAGTGGAGACTACATGGTCCTTTTACGTTGATTCTTTATTCCTGTTTCCTTGGTGCACATAGCAGTTAGGCTTGGTATCTGAGAGAACAGAAATTTAGTTTGTAAAGCTCTAGCTTCACTTTCTTTTTTAAAAATCGTTTTATTAGGGGCTCATTACAACTCTTATCACAATCCATACATACATCAATTGTGTAAAGCATGTACATTCATTGCCTTCATCATTCTCAAAACATTTCCTCTCCACTTAAGCCCCTGACATTAGGTCCTCGTTTTTCTCCTCCCTCCCCGCTTCCCCCTCTTTCCTGAGCCCTTGGATAATTTATAAATTGTTATTTTGTCATATCTTGCCCTGTCCGACATCTCCCTTCACCCACTTTTCTGTTGTCCGTCCCCCAGGGAGGAGGTCACATATAGCTCCTTGTAATTGGTTCCCTCTTTCCTACCCACTCTCCCTCTACCCTCCCAGTATCGCCACTCACACCACTGGTCCTGTAGGGCTCATCCGCCCTGGATTCCCTGTATTTTCAGTTCCTATCTGTACCAGTGTACATCCTCTGGTCTAGCCAGACTTGCAAGGTAGAATTCGGATCATGATAGTGGGGGCGGGCAGGGTGGAAGCATTTAGGAACTAGAGGAAAGTTGAATTTTTCATCGTTGCTACATCGCCCCCTGACTGGCTCGTCTCCTCCCTCAGACCCCTCTGCAAGGGGATCTCCAGTGGCCTACAAATGTCTAGTTTCACTTTCAAAATGAGGTGGCGTATGACCAAGCAAGACTCCCTGCATTCCAAACGAGCACGTTTTCTGCTGTAGAAGCCATTCATGAGAAATACAGACCATAATTAGTTAATAAGTCTCCCTTTTTAAGTTACTTTTATTTTTCCCTTTTTAAAAAATCATTTTATTGGGGGCTCATACCGCTCTTATCACAATCCGTACAGCCATCCATTGAGTCAAGCACATTTGTACATTTGGTGCCATCATTTTCAAAACATTTTAATACTTGAGCCCTTGGTATCAGCTAATTTTTCCCCCTCCCTTATGAACCCTTGATAATTTATAAATTATTATTTTTTCATGTCTTACACTAAACGATGTCTGCCTTCACCCACTTCATAAGTTGTGTTGTCCGTCCCCCTGGGAGGGGCTCTTAACAGCTCTTATACCAATCCATGCATCAATTGTATCAGGTGCATTTGTGCATGTTGCCATCATAATCTTCAAAACCCTTTCTTTCTACTTGAGCCCTTGGTATCAGCTCATTTTTGCCTCTCTCCCTCACCCTCCCACCCTCGTGAACCCTTGATAAATTATAAATTATTATTCATAATTTCACCCATGTTTCTGTGACCTGTGGGGTTGTGACCTCTCTGGAGGTCGAAAGACCCTTTCACAGGGGTCACCCAGTTCATAACAGTTGCAAAATGAGTTATGAAGTAGCAACGAAAACAATTTTATGGTTGTGGGGGTCACCACAACATGAGGAACTGCATTAAAGGGTCTCAGCACGAGGAAGGCGGAGAACCACTGCCCTAGGGGGCATCAATCATTGCAATGGGTCCCCTTTCTCTCCCACCTTCCCTACCCTCAGGGTATTGCTACTCCCATTACTGTCCTGAGGGACTTATCCGTCCTGGATTCCGTTTTGAGAGCTCTTATCTGTACCAGTGTTCAAGGTGCAGTCGAGCCGGGTGTGTAAGGTAGAATGTGCATAGGGGTGGGGGTGCAGGAGGAAGCATTAAAGAACTAGAGGAATGCTCCGCATTCTGTCCGTGCTGTACCCCACCCTGACTGGCTTGCTCCTTCCTTGTGGCCCTTCAGTGAGGGGATTCATGTTCTCTTGAGAAGACTTTCAGTGATGCAAGCTTATGTGGTTTTAAAAAAATTAGGGACTGTAACTCTTTACAACAGTAGAGAGCCCTGTCTTTCTCCTGGAATTTATGAAAGGCTTCAAGTAAGATGGGGAGGAGGGAGTAATTGAAACAGATCGTGACCAAATAACTCAGTGCCGAGAAGTCCTTGGACATCCGTCAGAACTGAGAAAAGTCAATGCCAAATGGGCACAGGCTTCCAGAAAGCTCAGAGGAAAGTGGAGTAGGGAAATCATCCCGAGTGTACCGTTGACTCAGGGGCTGGGATGTGTTTCGTTTGGTGGGGCAGGAGTCCTACGTGAATAACAGGCGACTTCTGCTTCCTCTTTCCCAGGTGAGCTCCAAAGAAGTAAACAAGTTTCAGATGGTGAGTTTCTGGTGTCCCCTCAACCTCCTTCTCAGGGTACAAGACCGCTTCATGTCGACCACTGGCTTCACATCAATATTTGGGTTCTCTGCTCGTGATACGTTTTACTTTCAGCATGGTTACTGTCTTCCTTTCTAGTTTTTAAGCTAGATTGTATTGCTTTAGGAATCAGATAGTTTCTACCTTTAGTATAGTTCAAAAGTTCCCTGCAATCCATGCCCCCCCCACCCCCAGTAAACAGTATGGTGAAAGTGATTTTTGTCTCATAATTTTCTCTAAATGCAAGTGTCCCACTATAATTCGTATTCCTTCCCAGGTAGGTTTTCTGTTCATGGCTACCCCAAAGTTCATCCTCCCTGTGGGGGGCACATACTTCTATGCTGCTGAAGTTGTGCCTCCGTGTTTCCAGTGTGAGCAGGGGGCCAGGGGGCAGCAGAGAGATCAGGATGAGAACGCCCTGGAACATCGTTCCAAAAGCAGTCCGTGAAAATGGATCACCAGAATAGATCGCACACTGGAATGCTGGCCGATGAGCCTCCTGGGCCGTAAGACACTTAAACCCACAGTGGGTTCAGCAGTGTTCACGAAGACGGCTCAGGACCCAGTAGTGTCCCGTGTGCTTGTACACTGGTCACGGATTCAGAGACCGCTAACAACAAATTCTTTGCGGACTGGAGGCAGCCGCCCCACTGCTGTCCACCCTGCCCACTGAGACCGTGCTGTTTTTCAGGCCTACTCCAGCCTGCTCCGCGCGAACATGGACGGGCTGAAGAAGAGGGACAAGAAGAGCAGGAGTAAGAAGAGCAAAGCGGCACAGTGAGGGCGGTGCCGTGCAGCCTGCTTCCCACAGACCACCCGGCTGGCTGCCTTCGGCCACAGGGTGAGCCTTCTGGCTGTGTCCATGGGATCTCGAGTCCTTTTGGAGGGAAAGGGCAGGAGAGGGGCTGCAGTGTTAGCAGGGTAGTTGTGGTGAGAAACCAGTTGCTTCTCCTCTGGTGCCCGCTGCATGCTGTATATTCCGCTCTGTAGCTGGCTTGTGTGAAGAGCAATGTATCATTAAACCCTTTATTTATCAGCACTGTTTCTTGTTTTTTCTTTTCCCGACCCCATTTTTATAGTTCCTGGTCATCACTGTTCATTCTGGAAGTAAACAGCCTTCTTTTAGGTGGTGGGAATTGAGAGCTACTCATTTTTTAACACGTTTTGTCCCATGGCTCGTACAGGTTTATTATCATAGCTCCTTTAGCCACTGCTGAGTGTGTTTTCAGCTGAGCAAAAGCTCTGTTGAACCCCTTAGGCTGTTGTTGATTTCCGACTCTGCGTGACCACGTAGGGCAGGGTGGAGCTGCCCTGAGAGTTGGCTGGGCTGCCCCTTGAAGGTCTTTTTCCCTGTGCAGCTGCTGGGTGAGCTCCAACTGCTGACCTCCTGCTGAACTGCTGACCCCTTAGCGCTGTGCCACCAACGCGTACACGACCTGGGGATACACACCTTTTGCCATTGAGGTGATGCTGACTCAGGAACCCTGTAGGACAGGGTGGAAATGCCCCTGTGAGCTCCTGAGATTGTTTAAAGGAGTAGAAAGCCCTATCTCCCCCATGCATCAGCTGGTGGTTTCGAACTGCTGACCCTGGGGATCGCAGCCCACTGCATAACCACTATGCTAAAGAATATGTCTTCTACGGTATTGATAACTTGATTTCCTTTAGGCCCTTTTGTGTGGACATTGTCGCACGCCTCGTCATTAAGGCCATGGGAAGAACAGAGCTATTAGAGTTTCAACTCCCAAATGTTTCCTGCTAATAGATTTGCAATGAAAAAGCAGCAGGTAGTATGAAAGCATTTATTATACTGAAAAAGGTAAGTTTATAATACAGTACATAAAAAGAGCTGACCAAGCTCAACTTGACAAGACCACCTGTCGGGACTTTAAGGGGATACAGCGACTGCACAACATTCCATGGTACAAGCCCCAATCTGTGGGCCCAATGTAGGGCCCGTTGTCAGGACTAAAACAAGATTCTGTAGTAGTCATCTCTGTAGCTGTACAGGAACAACACAGACACCCTGAGAAGAAAGGAGAAGGTCGCTTACAAGGGAGCCATGGGTGGGCTTCAAAGAAGTTCCCTAAAAAATGCCATCTTTTGATTTCATTTTTCCATGGACCCTTTGAAGATCCCTCATGCACACAGTGGTAAAAACGGAAGTGTTTTTAGGACACTTAACGGCAGGAGTTTGTTTAAGCAGAAACAATATGGACGGCAGTCACTGGAAATGACAGTTTGACAGAAGCCATGACTGGCCAGGGTCTGCAGGACAAGGGCCGACACACAAGAACCACTCCCCTCACAGGCTCCCTGTTGGCCGAGAAGTGGATGATCATCTGGACAACTGGCCTTTTTGACAGGGGAGCACTGAAGCAGGCCGTTTCCTTTCATTGAGACAGCTTTAGAAGTAAGGGATCGCTGCGTCATCGGGGAGATCTGGTGACCACCGTGAGTTGTCATCAGTGACCAAGCTGTCGTCCTAATGACAGCCATTAACCCCCCCACACGGTGGGTGTGCTACCCTACAACCCCTCCCTGAGTTCTAACCCATGTGAAACTTAGACCCAAGCCATAACTTACTTCTTCTCGACTTTGATGTTATAAATTTCATCACAGACTAATTTGAGGTATCTCTGCTTTGGCAGGTGTGACAGCAGCTGCTTCACTGTTGTGTTAAACGCCTGCTCATCAGCGTCCCACTAGGAGAAAAGATCAGACTTCACAGCGGGCACTAGGGCTTATGAACTCCTACCTGGACGCGCCCATGCTCCCTCCCGACCCAGATCCTTGTTTGTTTGTTTGTTTCCCCCTTTCAAGTGTGTCAGAGAGATGAGTTCTAGGACTCCCCAACAGTGCTGCAGTCCCGGGAGACCGCAGCTGGCGATTCTCTGAAGCAGCAGTTTTTTCCCAAACCAGCCTACCTTCGTCAAGCCTGATGACCAACGCAGCAACCTTGGTCTGCTAACGTGACTTAACACGTTGCAGACAGGTCTCAGGTATATGTGTCTTTGCACTTAGATTGCCTTAGGTGGTTTGTAAGCCTCCAAGCAAGATAGGTCTTTATAGGAGCTGCCAGCTGCATGGGATAGCGCTGGCTTAAAGCGGCTGGTGAACAAAGGGTTAAAGTAAGGTGACCAGATTTAAAGCGGGTGGTGGTGGTGGTGTTCTTGATTAAAAATTTGGTCTATAAGGACCAAATAGACCGTTCCCTAGCTTGTCGTGCATTCTTTCCAAAAAATCGGGACTTTTTAAAAACGCCAAAAATCAGAACTGCCCTGCCAAAAGCGGGACGTCTGGTCACCTTAGGTTAGAGACCTGCTGCCGCCTAATTTGTTTGATTTGTATAAAATGGGTGAACTGCCACCCCCGCCAGTGCGCTCCCTCGGAGTGGACCACACATCACCTGTCCAGTGGTGTACGCTTTTTGCAAGAGAGCAAGAGAAACCAAAGGTTAATTTTTCATGTAATCTGGGGCTAAATATAGATAGGCAAACTGCCCCCCCCCCACCTTCTTTGATCGGACACACTGCCGAGTTTAAGCTGTAGCTTCTGTAGTGGAAGCTATGTGTTATGCACTGACTCGAATTTTAACATGTGATCCCTAAGGCTGTGTGTCCATCAAAAGCATAAGCCAAAACCCTGAATTGATGATGATGTTATTTATAAAAAGGTTTCTCTGTCTCGTTCTCATTCTACAAACGAGCTTCCTCAGCTAGAATGAATGGACTAGTGAGGTAGCAGAGTATAATGGCTGAGAACAGATTCTCATTAGTCTGCCTAGATTTGAATCCCGGCTCTTATGTGGCTGGGTGATGCTGCCCAAAATATCTAGTCTCTGCTCCCACTGTCATCTGTAAAAAGGGTGTGTGTGGGGGGGAGGGCAGCCACAGCACTGACCTCCTTCGAGGAGTCATTAGGGTTCCACGAGTGAGTATCTGTCAAATGCGCACAACAGCCAGCCCGAGGACACCCTGGAAGCCTTTGTTCGGTACGGGAAAGTACCTCTGAAGAAGTCTTGCTTCCTTCCCGCAGATGCTTCGCCTTGTGTACAATACACACAAGGACCCATGCTATCGAATCCCCGGAACTGCAGGAAAGTGCGCCCTCAGAACAGCCACCGCCCTTCCCCATTTTCTTTTGGCAAACCAGTAGCAAAGCTTTGGGGTTTTCAAGGCCAGCAAGCAGACAGTCCTTCCTGCTTACCTCTAACGATAGGAACTGCAAGATGGTCTCTTTGGGCAGATCCACCTGTCAACACACAGCAATGCGCGTCAGAGCCGGACACCCAGCACCTGCTGCCTGTGGCTGCGGTGTCACGGGCAGTGTCGGGCAGCGGCTGTGCTAGCGGACCAAGTGAACAGATGATGCAGGAGACCCCAGCACTCGTCTCCCTGTCCCCTCCGAGATGTGACACTGCTAAATGAATCCAGCGTGGCCTTAATGGAGGCAGCGGTCTGAGACATCCAGAAGAAGGATGCTTTCTGTTTGCTCCCCTTCCCCTCATCTTTAAGGAAGAAAGTAGGAGAAAAAGCAATCCAAACCCTTCAGCTCTCTCCCCGGGCTCTACTGGTTTCCACTGCAGGTCGATTAGTATCAGCCCGCACCCATATACTCTGTCAGTGAGTCAAAGGGCCAACGCCACGGACAAGCATGTAGAGACCACAACCAAAGTCAAACCCACTGCCATCGAGTCAATGCGGACTCTTGGCCGCCTTTAGGATAGAGCAGAATGCCCCCTGGGGCTTCTCAGGCTGTTGGCTTGAACAGAGCAGACAGCGTCATCCTGGTGTGGGGAGTGGCTGATGAGCTGGAACTGCTAACCCTGAGGGTAGCAGCCCCATGCATGCTTAAGATGCTGCGCCACAGGGCTCATGGGGCGCGGGGCGGGGAGCCGGGAGCCATCCTCAACCTGATAAAGCGACTTACAGCCAAAATTTCAATGTCACTGCTCTTCTGATGTAAGTTGGCAAGGGAGGCCTGGAGTCGAGTTTGTACCTAACGAGGAGAAAACAGAATTCAGAACGTGCCATCTCATTTCTTAATCCCAGGAAGCAACCACGGGGTGACCGATGGGGCTTGGAAGAGATTCTGAAGATCACCTAGCGATCTCTCCATGTGTCTCAGGAAGATGGGCGGTTTCTGGGGAAATGAGCTTTTATAATCTCGCTCAGTCGTGTGCTCAGCCATCTTCTTGCTGCTTAACATTATCGTTTTGAAATGGTAATGGCTCGGTGGCCTGAAATCGTGTCCTTGGAAGCAGGGAAATTTCAGCATTAAGCTAAATTTGGAAAAGGCCGAGGGTGGGGGGAGGGGCAGAACTGAAGTGGGTGATGAGAACCGGGAAGACCAGAAAGGGGTTCCAGTCAGCATCCTCAGAGACAGCTGGGAGGGCTTAAAAAATAATGAGGTAGCTGACGTTTTGTATTTTCATCTGACTTCCTGATACTGTCTGCTCTCTGACACATGCCCTCTTCCCGAGTAACTGGCCGAGTGCTGACTAGCTCGTCCTCACCACCTTTCCACTTGGAACACATTCGCCCGTTTACAGGCTGCCGGGTGCACCTTCCATCACCCACTCTATCGCCGTCTCCGTCTTTCCCACAGCAGTCAATTCATTAACTCGGCAGTCCACTACTTGTGTACACCGAGTCGCTATGAGTCGGACAGCATTTGACAAGTGTTACTACGTATCTTCGACTCTTCTCCAATAATGAATGCATACACTTCTAAAGTCACAAGTTCTTTGAGGACGGGCCATGCCAAAATGCGTCTCCTCCCCGGCTCCCTTAACTCAGCACCAAGATACGCATAATATGCATGAAATGAGAAAACTGGCCCCACAGTCTTTGTGGCAGACCTCTTCTGCGTCACTGAAAACCAAAACCCACCCCAACGGGCCACTGCAGCCAGTCTGGGAGGCGCGTGTGTGGATCCAGTGCCAACTGACCGCCGGCCGCCTCTCTGCCTCTGTCAGGCCGATGGGGCACCACCTTGCCCCAGAGAGATGCTTTGTGTTGGTGTGTTTTTCAGAACGGGGAGTGCGGAGACAAACAGTTCTAGGAACCGTTTCCCTTATTTCCCTTCCCCGTTTGCTTTCTTCTCAGCCACCCGCAGAAGAAGGCAGAAGTGGGTCCGAGTACCTGAGTCTCATACCGCCTCCGGGTGCTGGCTGAGAGCTTCTCTGGCGAGATCACACTCACGTTGGGAACCACTGGGGTTCCGTGGACCTCAAACAGACCTGCCGCAAAGACAGCAACAGCATTACGGCCTTTCCTCGCATACATCACAGAGGGGGTGGACTTGACTTGAGAGATCCCATCCTCTTGAGAAGCCAGGGGCTAGATTACAGTGGGGCTTTTCTCTCTCTGTCTCTGCTGCCACCTGCCCTTGAGAAGCCAGGGGCTAGATTACATCGGGGCTTTTCTCTCTCTGCCTCTGCTGCCACCTGCCCTTGATCAAGGAGGTGCTCAAAACCCCACCAGCCAGGGGTTTGGTGCTTCTGCCCTTGGGTGCAGGAAGGAGAGCCCGACAACCACGTAGAAGGTGCACAGTATCAAAGCCCTATGATGCAAGGAATGCCTAATGTAGTCGCTCCAATGACAGTATCCTAAACCTGCCTCAAAGGATTTAAACTTGGTGGCGACACAAAGTCAAGGTGAACAGAAATCAACCTGCAAGACCCAATCCTGTTACTTTTAAAAGTCAAATATGTCTTGTCATAATAGACTTCATCAGGACACGTCTTTTTCAGCAAGGTTGACAGATACGAAGAAACTGAAGGAATGTAACTACCACCACTGCTCTCTGCATTTTCATGCAACAATGTACAGAGTACCCTTCTCCAGCAGATCACAAACACCTTTCTTCCCTGGGAGAGACTCTAGGAAAAGGATCCGCCTGCTGTTTACACGATAAACAGGATCCAAGGAAGATCCAACCGTTTGTAAAACTCAGATCAGAAGAGTCACCCAGCTCCCAGTCATCGGATCATTTTTGTGGATGTGGATTTCCAAGCGTGAGGATACATTCCACTTGGGACAATTCAGTGGATAAGGCCCACACATCTCCCATGTGACAGGGAATTGGCCACAGCTGTTAAGTGCGGGGAGCAAATGTGCATCCGTAAGTGAGAAACACGCATTCTGATGTCCAGATGGTAATTAGTCATTATACCTGAAGCGTTAGAACATGACCCCTTCAGATTTTGCACTGCAAGATTATCGGAAGCTTCTCTAAAAACAAGCAAATGAGAACAATTAGTAAACTGTCGATAAGGCAGAAGCCACAGCTAGTGAACAGTGAGCCACTTTTTCTAGTATACGTAGGAGTCATTTCCCCTCAGGTTATGCGTGGGGGGAAAAACACCCCAAACTGGCATTTCGCTGCGGTTTTTGTCCAGGGCAGGTCACGTCAAGTTAACAAATGCCTACAGAAAACTTTCTGACACCTTCAGAGGGCTTTGAAACCCTGACTCAACACAGCAGCTAATTTCACGAAATGTAATGGGCGCTTCGTTCCGCTGCCCATTAGTGACAGCGGGCCCCGTGTGCAATATGGCAGCAGCCTTGACAAACTACCACAGAACATGTAAATAAGGACATTTTTTCAAAAGCTGTGAGTGGATAATCTTGCAAATACTGTGAGTTAATTGATAGCCTTAGACACACAATAATACTCGCTCTTGAAAAGACAGGGAATAATCGTTCACATCAAGGGAAGATTTTGAATCTTTCTCCCATAAAATGAAACCCCATCTGGTTTTCAAGTCCTAATTATCTTCTCCTATACTCATTAATAATTACAAAACTATTTTGTTTTCTCTCCTAAGTCTGCCTTTAGCTTGGATCTGTAGTTCTAATGCTCAGTGACTTCAAGAAATACACAACACCCTCCCTACCCCCCGAAAACAAGAACGACATTTCCCAGGAAAAGGGCTGGTGGGGAGTTTTTTCAAATCAGGAGAAAACGAGGAGGGCTGGGGAAGGGGCAAGGAGGAGAACACAGGCAAACAGTTGTATTTTTATAAGCCAGGATTTCTCCTCCTTTGGCACTGGTCTTTGGGCCAGGTCATTTGTTTCAGGATGGCTGTGCCTGGGGCAGCAAAATCACTACTCGCTGAGAGAATCAATGAAGGAAGCAAAAATAAAAAGTTCTTGAATGCCGTCGTCTGCTTTTGAGCAGATATACATCTGTTACACGTATGTAAAAAGGATGGAAGTACGACCTGTCACCCCACTAAGCAGAAGTCACTTACAATTGAACACTCTGTATAGCCTCCAGACCCGCTCCTTTTGTGCCTGGGTTAGTGCACTTTGGTTAAAACAAGTAGGATCATGCTATGCGGCCTATTTGTGGACCGTCTTCCATGTCAGTAAGCTCATCGAGACTGGGCTGCAGTTATTCTGCTGTATTTCACAACGCAGACAATTTTCTGCAAGGACATATCTTGCTATTATAAACCAGATTCTCCGAGTGTGGCCTACTGACTCCTAGAGGTCCCTGAGCCCCTTTCAGGGGTCCCTACGGTCAAAACTACCTTCATAATAACCCTAAAACATTATTTGTCTTTTTCCCTCTCATCCTCTCACACGTGCACAGTGGAACTGTCCAGGGACGACCTGACTGACTATCACAAAGGACTGACTGCAGAAGTAGACGTGAGGGTTGGCTCGTCTCCTACGAAGTCACTTAAGGAATTTCACGATGTGAAGCAATGTGCACAAGAGATTTGTAAGAATATGAAACATTTGTGCCAACGAAATCGATTGTTTTGGGATAGAGTTATTTTTCATTGAAATGATATGTAGGTTAACATGCAATCAACTTATTGCTATTTTACAATAAATATTTTAAATTGAAACATTATCTTCAACTTGTTGCAATGAAAAGTTCTACTACAGAAACACTGACAGTGGCAACCCACGATACAGCAGTTCTTTGGGGTCCTTAATAAGTTTAAGGGATTGAGGGATCTGAGACAAAAGGTCTGCCAAGCGCAGTTACAAACAATGCTCCGACGACCTGTGCACATATTTCTATGGAATCATTTACAACAAATGCTTGAAAAGTGGAATTGCTGCATCCATTTTTTTTAACTTGGGGATTTTAATTTTATTAAATTACTACCTGGATAGTTGAACCCATGTATACTATAAAGAACTCATAAACTCTTTCCCAGAAGGTTATATTTTAAAATGACATTAACAGGATATAAAAATGTACATTAACAAAGTATAAACAATAAATCTACTGATGGATAGGTGTAATAAGATAATAGTGGGTAGACTGATTACTTATGCTTTCAAAATAATAGAAATGTAATGAGAATAAATGTTAAAAAGGAGCTATCACTAGTCTTGTATCAAAAACTCTCCACATTTACTGCGATTGAGTCGATTCGAATGCATAGCATCCCTCTAGGACAGGGTAGACTGGGCCCTGGGGGGTCTCGAGGCAGAGAGTCTCACCTCTCCCCTGGGGCACCTGGTGGGCTCCAGGTGTAACCGACTCGTAACCCACTGTGCCAGCAGGTCTCCGGAGTCTTATAGAAGAGGCCTTACAGTAAATCAAGGGGATCGTTGTAGTGCCATGAGTAGTTAAGTGCCTGCCTGCTAATCACAAGGTTGGCAGTTCAAATGTACCAGCTACTTGGTGGGAGAATGATGTGACAATCTGCTTCTATGGAGATGCCCGCCATAAAACTCAAAGTGCTGACACGGGTTCAGAGCAAGCCCCTCACTGCCACTAAACCCGGCAGACCCTCGCCCGGCAGCCCTCCAGGGCAGGGCAGCGCTGCCTCCTAAGTTCCGGGAGCAAGAAGTCCCGTCTTTTTCCCTCAGAGCAGCTGGTGGTTACCAACTGCTGACCTTTCGGATCGCAACCCAGCTCGTGACCTCTGTGCCTCCAGGGCTCCTGCCGAGAAACTGCACTGCTCGTTAAAAACAGTGCTCAGTAAAGGTTATCCTGGCTGATCTTTCTTCCCAGAGGAAGAAAGGATCGAACCGGAGGGTACAGCTGCCATTTAACATACATGGATGCAGGATCTAGACAGGCGCCCCCGCTGAGTTCACGAGTACCTCATGCTCCTGTCATCGAGTTTCGTCCTCAGTTTCTGCACCACATGGTCCACGAGGTCAGATTCCAGCACTCGTTTTTCTGTTTGCCTTTCCTTCTCAAAAGACTTCACCTTCAAGAGAAAGAGCAGAGTCAGCATCTGGCTTCGAAGCCCACAGGCTGGATCACAGTGACACTAGTCTCAGTCGCTGCCTGGGCTGGCGGTTCCCCCACTGGAGGGACATTGGGCTTGGAGACTTTTTGCTGCCATCAGTGCAGCAGGTGCTATTAGCATCCAGTGGCTTGAGGTAAGAATGCTGCCAAATTGCCCGACAGGCACGGCACAGCGCGGCCCTCACACAAGGAGCTGGCCTGGGGTGAAAAGGCACCTGGGTTAGCCTAGCATGGTTCATTACAGATGATTCAAACCAACCAACCAACCTCAGTGCCATCGAGTCCATCCCAGTTCACAGTGGCCTACAGGGCAGGGCAGAATGGCCCCTCTGGTTCTCTAAGCTAGAACTCTTTACGGGAGTAGAAAGTCCCATCTTTCTCCCAAGGCTGGCTGGTGGTTTCAAACTGCTGACCTTGCAGTTACCCAATGGGTAAGCACTACACCACCAGGGCTTCTGAAAAGCGTGTCTAGAGGAGGTTAAAGAGAGAGTCAAGGGTCTGGAAAACCATATCACTCGGAATACCTTAAGTAGTTAGGATGTTGAAACCAGGGAAGAGACCCCGTGTGTCATGATAGTTTCCTCCTAATATTTACTTGAATGTCGTTGAGAAAAGAAAGCCAATGATTTTTTTGGGGGGTGTGTGTGTGTGTGTGACTCCACAATGCAGAACTACGGCCAGTAAGTGCCAAAGAAAAGCAGATTCGGATTAAAATTGCACATATTTGCTAACTAATCTGAGTGTGTTTTGACAACGAAATTACCCAGCAGAGGCTAGCTGGTCACCTCTCCCACTGGGTTGGGCGAGGCTTGGTCAGTGGAGTTTTAGGGTCCTTCACGGTTTTGTGACAAACAAGTAGACTAGGAACCGGTGGTAAAAATTAGCAACGTATTTGGGGACTTCCAAAGGGGGCCGTAAACGATAAGACAGCCACAAAAACGCCCCCCACCCTAAACAGCTAAGAACCAGACTGCATGGGTAAACAATGATTTTTTAGACATCGAGTAAAGACCAGCGCCAGGCTTTGGTAAGTGAGAGAAAGGCAACAAGCAAAATGAGCCCATGGGCGCCCCAGTTCACGGCAGGGAAAGCGCGGGCTGAAGGCCAATGGGGAATGAGCACACACTCTGAGAAGGAACTGTTTCTGAGGCTCTGCAGAGGGACCCGCTCTGCTCTGTCTGAAGCTGAGCACTAACATGAGGGGAGTCTACTCAAGTTGGGGACCTTATTCAGTAAATGCAACACTTTAAAGTTGCTCAGGAAGCAGCCAGAGGCTACGGGCAGGCAGCCGGCCGGCAGATAACTGCTCTAGTGGCTGTTGTCCTTGCTTTCTTCGGTAGAACACGGGGACAAGGCAGCAAAGTCAGAAGGTGGGGGTGGAGTTTGGGGAGGTGGGAACTACAGCCATTGCATCTTTCCTTCTGAAGATAAGGCTCCAGGAGGTGCTCAGATTCAGGGGCTCTCCACTCCCGCCTTCGTTCAGGGGGAGAGCTAAGGTAACGGATGGACTTCTACCCATCCTCGGCCCAGGGTCTCGGGGAGCGACCAGGTATTCCCCGGTCACACGCAGCCCGGGCAGACTGGCCATCTGTGGTAGTTATGTAATTGTGAATTTGAGAGGATTAGGAGTGGAGGGGTGGAGTCTAGGCTGCCAATCAGATCCCAGCCAGTGAGCCTCTGTGTGGGCATGGCCTTCTCCTGAAGACTCTGGGAACTCCTGTACAGTTTTCTCTCTCCCCTCCCTTCTCTTCTTCTTCTCTCCTCCTCCACCTCCTCTTCCTCCTCCTTGTTCCTCTCTCTTTCTCTCTCTCTCCTCACTCCCTGACTCTCTGCTGACAAGACACATGGATCTACGTGAGTGCCCTGACCTGGAGAAGCCACGTGGAGACCCCTGCCAGCTCTGAGATGCATACAATGCCACTGGATCCACAAGACTTCCCACCCACTGGCCTGTGATCTTCCTGCATTTGGCGTCATTGCATGTGTTTCGAGAGGCTGAAGAGGACTGTATAGATTGGTATCGGCATATGGGCTAATGGACTTATGGACTTGATCTGGACTGGGCCGGGATGTTTTCTTAATGTACAATTGCTCTTTGATATAAAGCTCTCTCTTACACACAAATGCGACTCTCTGGATTTGTTTCTCTAGTCCACCCGGACTCACACACCGTCCAACTGTGAAGCGCCTCCTGTGGCCTCACCTTGACGTGGCTTCCTTCTTTCTCTGAGACGAGGGCCACGTAGGTGATTTCCCGGTGCCGGCAGTACTCCTGCAGTTCCTCCTGGGACTACAGGGAATGGAGGGACACAGAGTAAGAACACAAACGCCGGCTCCTAGAGCAGCCCCGAGCTATTAAGGGGCAGGAAAATATTGTTGTCAAGGCCTCCTTAAAACGAGTCACCAAGGACGCTGGCTCCACAGGGGCATGAATAGTCGGCAAGAACATTCCCGAGGCGGGAGAGCAGCGCTTCTGCTTCCCTTCCTTCTGCTTTGCTCTAAGGCAGCCGTGGACCACCACTGTAGCTGAGCAACTGGAAACGGTTTTCCGTCTTCATGGAAATCGCCAGACTTCCCTCTCCCCAACGCCGCCCCGATCCGGAGGAAACAGCAGGTCTGAGAGCAGGGAGCAGCAGCAGTGCCGTAAAAACTGACACAGGGAGGGCGGCGGGGGCCCTGCTGGGCACACTGAAGCCAGCGGTCCTGGGCCTTGCGTTCACGGGCAGCAAAGAATCCTGCACTGGCCAACGTTAGGGACAGAGAAGGCCTGCTCTCCCGGGGAGTGGCCGCCACTGCTGAGCATGCCTCTCTCTGGTGGGTGAGCGGCACCCGCAAAAACAGATGGCTGCAGCTTCTGAGGTTTGAGGTTTCGGCAGTGGTGGGGGATGTGAAAGGGTGGGGGTGGTGCTGGTGGTGTGTATGGGATTCCGCCACCTCCCATCCCTGTCATCTCTTCATACACTGGGCACCTTTAGTGAGTGTGTGTCCACCTAAAGCCTCCCGTTCAGGAGGGCAGGGGGGTGTTCAGGAGCGCCACTTCCCTCACCTCCACACCTGGGGCAGGTAGCAGTCCTGTACACTTTGGGGTGCCTGGGGGGAAGGGGGTCGCCGCAGCCACCGATGCTAACCAGTCTGCCTTTCCCGCAGACTGGGAAAGGCACGGAGTCAGGACGAGGTGGTTTCATCACGTTTGTGGGCAACGGAATTAAAAGATGATGGAATTCTCCCACAAAGCTGGGAAGCCCCTACTCCCCGCCTCGCCCTGGTTCCCCGGAATCTGGGAAAACCTTACGTCACCGGCACCTCACAGATATGAATAAGTTAAAGGGTCTTGGAGGTGGGGAGATGCTCTTGGATGGGTTTGGAGGGCCCCAGGGAGTCACAGGGTCCTGATGGGAGGACAGAGCAGAGGGCAGGGAGGAGGGTGAAGCCATGCTGCTGGCTCTGAGGTCAGCCGGATGCAGGCAGACCCTCGGGGATGGACAAGGGCCGGGAGACAGATTCTCCCTGGTGCCTCCACAAGAAACCAGCCTGGATGTTACCAGGTGAAGTGGATTTTGGGCTTCTGACCCCCGAGAACTGCTAAGCACAGGCCGTATTGATTTAAGTCACTAAATTTGTAGTCATTCGTTCCTGCAGCAACAGAAAAGCAGTGCGGGAAGCAGGTGCGACCAGAGAGAGAAACCTGGCTGGGGAGACTCTAGGGGTGGAGAAGACAATTTGTCGTTGAAGCTATGCCTGCTAGTTCTGCCTTCCCGGGCCTCTGTCTCATTACCTGTGAGCAGTCGTACATGATTTCTGCTGTGATGCCCGCTGCCCAGAGCTTCTGAGTTAGGTTGATGGCCCTGGACATGGACATCTGGCCAATGCTCGCCACCAGGAGGTCACACGAGCTCACTGTCACCTGCATCAGACACAGAAACTGGTTACAGTCAGAAGAACTCAGGTGCTGGCGTGCAGAGGGGACCAGCTCCAGAGGGGAGGCAGCATCTGAGTGAGGGCCCGAATCCTGTCCAGCAACACACGCCGTGCAGAGTTCTTGCAAAATGGCACAGCTGGAACCCCGGTGCCAAGGAGTCAGTTTCTGCTCATAGCAGCCCTCCACGGCAAAACAGACTGGAGCCATGGGGCTTCCAAAGCTGTCAATCTTTCTGGAAGCAGATGGACCCAGCTCTCCCTCTCGGAGCGGTTGGTGGATTTGAACCACTGACTGTTCTGTGATCAGCCCCATTAGGGCTTCTTCAGAATGGCATTAAAAAAAAAAAAAAAAAGCAGCATGAAAAACCTCCGATATGAAAGGGTGAATGAACGACCTAGAGTCCCCTGCTGGAGAGCAGAGGATTAAGGCCTGCCATGCAAGGGGGGACACCAAGTCTTCGGCTTGTTTGTTAGGTTCAAGGCAAACGTCTAAGCCAGACCCCCCTATCCTCCCGCCCACTCCCGGCCTACAGCTGCCACGTTTGGGGCTCCTTCAAATGACGACAAAAGGCCAATCCCACTTTCAGAAATGAACGATCCCCCGAAGGCGGCTGGAGGCCTGCTGGTACTCACAGGCTCTTCTGTGCTGAGCACGGCAGCGGATATCCTGTCTATGGCTATGCTGACCCCAATGGCAGTGGGCACTGGTCCGAGGGCCTGTGGCCCTCTAAACTGGGGGATCTGCAGGGGCGGGGTGGGAGAGAGAGACACAGCTCTGGTTAGGAGATGGAGAAACTGTTGATTGCGGGGAGCACAGTAGTAAGGACAAGTCCTCTGCCAGCCTCTCCCACCCGAGGCTCAGCCAAGAGGAGAGCAGCGGGCGAGAACGGCGAGTGGGCACGTGACCGTGTCAAGACGTCAGTGCGCGCTGCATCTGGTCTGTGCCGTGCAGGGCGGCAGCCACGCCTGGCCGTGGAGCACAGGGTAGGTGGCTAACCCAATGAACCCCCACGCCCAGACTGACAATGATGCAGATCATGTGCTCTAGCGCACGAGGAGCTTTCAAGTTCTGATGCCAGGCTGAAATAATGTTTTGACGATATTTTGGTTAATAAAACACATTGTTAAAGTTAATGCCACCATCTCTTTTTCCTTTTTACCCACTGCCGCTGAGTTGATTCCAAGTAATAGTGACCTTTCTGGGCAGGTGCCCTGCTCCACCACGCTGCCCGGCCGTAAAGCACATGTCTGCTGCAGAGTGGCTGGTGGGTTTAAACCACTGACCTTTTGGTTAGCAGCCAAATGCTTTAGCCACTGTGCCACCAGGGCTCCTTGTAAAACGTTTCTAGAAAGTCAAAACCTACACAGATAGGTCGTGGTTCTAGAACAGTGGTTCTCAACCTTCCTCATGTGGTGGTGAGCCCCCAACCATAAAATTATTTTCATTGCTACTTCATCACTGTCATTTTGCTACTGTGATGAATC